AAATAGCGAGCAGGATTCTTGGGCATTGGTCTGAAGTTGTTCTCTTATTCTACCCCGAACGATGAGTGCAGTATCATCGGCATACGCAATGATGCGCGTGTGCTCTGGCCACTCGTTGGTTAATATACCATTCAATGTTATATTCCAAAGAAAAGGCCCAGCACATGCGCCTTGCGGGCATCCTTGATTTTGATTTTGCACTACCATACCACTATTATGGGGTACTATTAGCAATCGGTCAGAAAGGTAGTGTTCCAAAGTAAGATAGATATTTCTGGGCATTTAGCTAGGCGCAGGACTTGAAGAACCGCTGGCCACCACAGTGTGTCAAAAGCGCTCTTTAAGTCGATGGAAATAAACGCTCTGTGATAGCCAGCAGACCTATTTTCTAGAATTTGATTCTTAACTTCTGTAAGCGCATGCAAAGTAGATTGTCCTGGACTAAACCCATATTGTATTCGGCTTAAGTATTTCGTAACATATAGATGATGCCGCAATCTTGTCATGATCAGCTTTTCGTAAACCTTCCCCAAAGCTGAAAGCAGACATATTGGACAATACGACTCTGGAGACGTTGGATCTTTATTCTTTTTCAAAAATAAGGCCACTTGCCAAATTTTGAAGCTGTTAGGGAATGTCCCCGTTTGCAGGAGCTTATTGAAGAGTGATTGAAATAGAGTTACATTAGTGCTTATAATTGCTTTAATAATTCGGTGGTCAATACCATCCGGTCCTGGTGTTCTGCGCTGGGGAAGCTGGCGCAGTACTTGCTGAATCTCTCTGATAGTGAAGTAAGGATCATTTGATGTAGCAATTTCTGAGGGCTGGTTCCTGATTGTGCTCTGTTCTAATGTGTCTTCTTGCGGATTGTCTGTGGTGAAGACTGCTGACATGATTGCCTTTATTGTATCTTCTGTATATTGTCCAGTACTATTGGGGGTTGGCAATATATGTAAGGTGGCTGGTTTAAAAAGTTTTCCTGCTGCAATCCTGTGGTGGAGTCTATAGGTGGTGGTTGTTTCTGTACAAAACTTTCTCCAGCTGCTAATTTTTGCATCTAAGATCATGCTTTTGTAATACGATCGCTCTTGTTGGTAGATCATTAAAGTTGTGGTTTTTAGTTTCTGTCTACGTTCTTGTTTGAGGCGTCGGCGCAGAGCACGACATTTTTGCTGTTGAGTACGCAATGTACCATTCCACCAATGGAGTGCGGTAATTCTTTTTGTAGTACGCTTTGGCAGATGTTCATCACACACTTGTTGTATTGTTAATAGAATGTCTTTCGTAATATTTTGGAGGGTCTCTCTACTTACAGCATGTCTTATTGGATTAACGAAAGGTGTTAATCTGTTACTAACAATAGAAGTGAAAGTGCGGACCTTCCGCCCTGGTAGGTTGTATCTTTGGATGATGTTAGTTGCAGTGCTGCTTGCTATACTATAGCGTATATAGTTATCATCCGATAGACTCTGTCCCTCAACTACTGTCCAATCATGTATTAAATTTGCCATTTGATGACTAGTAACTGTGAGGTCTGGCCAACCACGCGAGTGGAGTCTATCAAAGGTCGGCGGCGCATCTATTCGATTATGAATTATAAAGTTGTTGCTTGAGAAAAAGTCTTCGAAATGACGCCCTTTAGGTGTCGTATCAGCGTAGCTCCATGTGGTGCTATGGACATTATAATCGCCAGCAAGGAGCATTTTTGCTATACGATGAGATTGCATTAGCTGTTGAATGCGTATTATGGTATGGTCCGCTTCTTCTGTAGGAGGGGAGTAGATGGATACTAACGCTATTGTCTGATTAAGTATTTCCAGTAAGTCAGCCGCAAAATACCTCTCTAAAGCAAGCACAATCGGTGTCCATGCCTGGTTGCAGATTGTAATAAAAGTTAGAGGCCCTTGTGTTGAATCCTCTTTTTGAAATGTTGCCCATTGAAGGAGAAAACCCACAATTTTGCCGTATCTGTGGTATGGTTCTTGACCAATTATTATATCAATCATTTCTTCTGTAGCGTAGTGTGCCGTTTGGGACATTGCGGCACGCGCTCGCTGAAGATTTATTTGCAAACATTTTATGGGTGTGTGTTGTGCTGATGATTTTAAGTTAATGACTTTCAAGGAGGTAATGGGTTTTGTTGTTTGCGGACTTGCAGAAGTATTACAGAAAGATATCTCTCTAATATTCTGTTGTTCATCGGATTGTATCGACTGCCCGTTGGTAGATAGCACATTCGATTGCATATACTGGATGTTGGAAGTTGAGTTGTGTTCCGAATCTGCAGTTTGAATCTCCACAATTGATACAGGAGGGTTGTTCTGCTGTACATTCTTTAGCTGCATGTGAGCCAGAACAGAAGCCACAGAAGATCTTATCGGATTTGAACATGTCTTGGCTGTGCCCAAATTTTTGGCAGCGATAGCATCTCTTAATACCAAAGAATTCTGTAATTCCGTGAGATTGCCATGCTGTAAAAATACGTCTGGTATTAATGGCTGCTGCGAAACCTTCGGTCGTGCATTCAATGACCCACTTAACTCTTTTAGGACGTCTTTCTCGAAATCGGAAGAGTGGCTTGTACTGGTGGGCCGATGTTCCTGATGTTGAACTAAGTTCTGAGATGAGCTCTTCTGGTTTTGTGCTGTCTGGGACATTATGTATAGCTATCCTAGGGCGTCGTCGTTGTCGTTTTTTGACCTCTACGTCTATGTCTGCTTTTTGCAGATGTTCTTGTAGTTGATTAATCTCGTCTGAAGTTTGGCAAAATACTTCCAATCCTCCTTGTGGAGTTGGCTGAATGTTTTGGACAGTAATCGGTATTTCTGCCAAGGGAACTTTATTTTGTACTTCTCTTCTGAGTTCTTCAGCAGGTTTTTCAGACTTTGATTTGATCACTACGCTTGGTTTGCTGATATTTCGTAGAACCTCCGCAAAAGTCGGTTGTGAGACAGTTGGAAAGGATGGTGGTACCTGCAAATTGTGTGATTGTAGCTTTGAAGCGTCTAATATACTTTGTGAGTGTGTAGGATCACTATCAGTTGGAAGCACTGATTGACGGGACATACTTTGAAAGATTTATCCTTAATATGTAATTGACACTATTGCAGTGAGACACTTAATTAGAATGTTTGACAAAGGTTTCTTACTAGAGGTAACGTTTGTGAGCAGAAGGTATCCCTTTACACCCAGGACCAAGGAATTACAGTAAATAAAACATACATATGAAATTAAAGCAAAAACATTACAAGAAAAACCGTAAATAAAACTTAAACTGTAAAACATTACGACTTAAAAAGTGCTATAACTAGTAAACAAGTTAGTTAAAAAGCAGTAAAAACAGATAATTAAAACATTACAGTATGCAAAATGAAAGTATACAGTGTATAAACTACAATTTCTCACAAAAAACATACTGAACACGCATATAAAGAGCTTTTAACAGTAATTAGTAGGACTGTCGAAATGTAGTAAGAAGTCGTCGAAATGTCCCTCGACGTCGAAACGTATCTCGATTGAAATACAATAGAGTCGTTCAAAAATAAGACTCTTAATTACTGCTTTTGTATAGGTACAATGAGGTCCTAACCTGAAGGACCGACACTTTGCCGCTTCAAAATAATTTATAGAAATTAAGAGTCAACGTTGTAAGTTGGCACAAAATGTTATTAGGCTGAATGATCTATTTTTGAAAATATTGCAATTAGAGGGTTGAGATTCAAATAAAAAGGTAAACATACCTTTTATATGAAGATACTGTAATGCTAGGTGCAGTAGATCCTGAGATGTTGAATTTTTAAAAGCAATTCACCAATTTTGGACTAATAAAAACCTATCCCAATTTGCTAGGCCTACCATGGGAACCACGTGGCAGGCAGGAGGAACCCTACCGTCGGAGCAGCGGCCTACACACACCGTACTTTGTGGCAGCCTAGATTTCTTTGTTATTCACACAAAAACACTTTTTTCTTGGGAAATACCAATCACACACACTTATTCAATACAGCAATCGATGCAGTAGATATTCACACACAAATTGATATGAAATTGTCACCTGGGACTTAAAGACTTCCACTGAAAATTGAAAATAATCTAGGAGAGCGACGAAACGGTGTCCTACCTTGGTGTCCGTATAAAACAAAACAAAAACAAAACATTCTTTTTCTTTTGAAATTAAATATAACTTGTTAAATTTTTGTCGGACAAGAATTGAATTTTGTGTGTTTTATTTCTCATGACAAGCAGAAAATATAAAAAGTTGGATTTCGTAATTTTTACGAAAGTGATTTGAAAATGCTAAAATATGAATCTTTGCATCATTTAAAATATATTTACTATTAGAACTAAAAAAACTCAGTGGCGTAACAGCCCTAGTAGGCAAGGCCTACAGTGCCCTTATATCTGCTTTCTTGACCGTGGGTCCCGGGGTGCATGAGCACATGTCCTGGCCAAGTGGTCAGTTTGTCGCAAGATCCCAAGCGAACTTGGTACCCAAGCGAATTTACTATTAGAAGCATATGCATATATACCATCAACGGTTGCGAAAATAAAGACCAGTAAGGACTTTTGTGATTTTGTGTTTACGCGATGTGTTAAATTACACCACATAGATACTTAATAGTTTGAAACGAAGATATTAAGACAGGTGAATGCTAACATATTAGAAACTGGCAAGTTGTCAATCTACGCGAAAAAGATAAAAGCTTTTATAAGAAGTTGGAATAACAGCGTTATAAAAACTCGCATTATGTCGGATTGAGTATGAGATGAACTAAAGATCTTGTATCGTCTGCAATAAATTTCACAGGTAGCATGGATAACAAAGGGCGTTCTGGTAGCATAGGTGAGGCAATCTAACAAAAATTTGCGACCTAATACTGAATTTCATTTAGTTACAAACTTAGCTTATTTTATATTTGCTGGAGAATGTTACCAATTAAAAATTGATTATAATCATCCAACAGTTTTGAAACATATTTAAAGCTCAAGGAAAACAAATGTAGCAGGACAAGTATTTTATTCAAATCCTTTAATATTTTACACAAATGATTAATAAGACATTTTAATTTTTTTCGTTAAATAATAGAGTAAAATACAAAAATCTAACACAGCATTTGGAATTTTATACACTGTTCAACATCCCATTATAAAAAAACCGTTTTCTCATAATATAATGACAGACTCCACTGGATGGAAAAATGACAGACTCCACTGGAGGGAAAAAAGCAAGTTGTCATTCAAATCTGAACCATTGGAAAGAACTTTCTCAAATTTTGCTATTTTTTACAAAGTTCGAAAATAAACAGTATTTATTAAACACTGATGGGACATGGGCATACCCACCCATTGAAAACTTTATCTAATTCGACCGCTGTTGCGATGGTCAAATGATCTTGGAATCGTCTGCTGACGGCCTGGATACCAATGGGTATTCCTTCGTGTAATCCTGTCGGAATTTGTGTCGATGGATAGCCTAAGATATTAAAAATGCAGGTGTACACAATGTTAGGGTATTTAGGAATAGTAAGAAGGTAATGTGGTGGCGGTTCTGGATGAGTAGGTAACAAAAATATGGCATCATCCTGTAGAAGCTCCTCGAATTTCGTTTTCAGGGCACTGAATTTCTCCAAGCATTCGTAATAGAATTTATTTTTTTCCCTCATATCGACCATTGCGAAATAGATGGCTGGCCAAGTATGGTCTGAATATCGAAAGAAGCTTTTAATGAGCTCCATGGTTAAACTGATGTTCGAATCTTTGGCATCTTCGCCGGACAGCATACTGTCCATTGAAGGTGATCCAATTTCCAGTAACTTACTTTCCCAGATGTTGAAGCCGTATGCTAACTCTTGGATGTCAACTTTTGTAGCAGTGATCCCATATTCATTTTCGAAATGACTGGCAGCCTGAAATTAAGATACCTGTAATTAGTATAATTAACGGAAATTCGCGACTTTAGCAATTTAGGTTTACAGTAATAATTTCGCGAAAAGCTTTACAGTTAAGGATTTACTTTAACATTTAAAAGAAGAGGTTTTGCCAAAACGAAGTACTAGCACAAAACTATGTACTCATTTTAATGTTAAGTATGTAATTAAACAGAAATTATCGAACATAGTTTTTAATTGAAATTTACATTATATACCAAAAAAAAAACAAAGTTTGGAAACCTACTCCGTATCTTTCTTTAATATATGAGCTTTCTTATTAAGCAGAAAATTAAAAAAAAAGTATCACTCGGCATTGGAATTTTTGCCGTCATTACTTCATGAGCCCAAAGGGGCGTTAACCCCGAAAGGATTGTTAGTCTCGAAACGGCATTTTGCGTCGAATCACTATAAACGATTGTATCACTTTTAAAATTCTCCCCATTATCGTCCTGTATTACATTTAATAATGAAGTAAGTTAAATAATGAAGAATCTGCATGAATGTACGTATATTTCTCGCATTGTGAAAAACAACGATACCTAGAGCTATCAAATTTTGAATAGTGTAGTCCTTCACTCGAATATAGGGAATTGGCGGTTCGAATTTGTTTTATTATATGTTTCATATATTTTAAACTTTAACGAAGTTTTGGTTTAAGAGACTCAATGATTCCAAAGAGAGCAGTGGCAACACACGATACGGAATAAAATATTTTTATGACCAGCGGGTGAGACTATCTATCGGAAATTCTAAAGATACTCTATTTTTAAATTTTTTTAGTTCACAGGGGTGCTCTCGAAACGTGTATGAATGTGTAACTGGAAAAAATGCCTTTTTGGTGTAATATAAAATCTGAAAGCATTCAGATGTTTTTCCTTTACTTATTTTGTCAGTAGTTGGTTTCATGAAATTTCTTGTTAATCACAGAAGATACAAATAAATTTTTTAGTTATACTTGAATCTATGAGGTATAGCATAACTGCTATGTATTAAGAGCATGCAGAAATCTATTTGTTACAGAAGTCTGGACTGGAAATTTTAAATACTTTTATTAAGTTGAGAATCAAAGCTGTTTGAAAAGCATTGCTATAGCAACAAGTAAATGATAACAAAGTCACAGTTCCCAGACCTCAAACTATACTTTACTCTACTCTTTCGTAATTAAGAGAAAGAAAATTTTTTCTTCTAATATCAGATGATATCGTCAGCGTTAAGAACATTCTATTCTTAAGAACTTACCAGACACGTGTCTTAAATCTTCTCCAAACGCAAATATAGCGTTGGGAAACACCTTTTCTGGACAATTTAAAGGGTAATGTATTTCATGATCTTAAATTTTAACAATTATGTACATTTTACCTACTTACTCTTGTACTATACAGCTTGGTACTGTATAGTACATTTTAGTACACACAGTTATAGGGTTCTAATCTTGGATTTACAGCTATGTGTGTGAAACCTCGAGAACTCGTGAGGGGATAATCGCTTTAGCTCAGAAAACAGAAACGTAAACTCAAGAAGAGTTAATTACCATTTATTGCTCAAAATAAGGATTAACAGATGGCCCTTTTTTCAGGACGTACAGAAAAGCCTCCACTTGGGCTTGAACTCAAAAGTACTAAGAAAATCAAACTTAACTAAAAGATATAGGCGAAGCTATCAAAATTCTGCAGGAGTCAGCCTCTAAATATTAACTAAACGGCGAAGCTATCAAGGGCCTGAAATACGGCCGAGTGTAGTAATAGCTTAGAGAGAGTGTATCCAAAAGGCAAACGCGCGCTAGTCAGAATCTCTGGCTCTCTAACGAAGTCAGTAGAACTTCGACTAAAGTACCACTCTTCCTTCATTTGCATTAACCGCGATTCTTAAAAACACACTCTGGCAGGAAATTTGTAAGTTGAAATTAGAAGAGACAGGAAAGTAGCATTAACTAAAGATAATTGTTAAAAACTTAGGATAAACCTTACATAGTTCATTAATTTGTACTAACATCCTTCAAAAACAACATCCTTCAAAAAAGGGAATTTAATTTTACCTACTCACTCTTGTACTATACAAGTACTCACTCTTGTACTTATACTCACTCTTGTACTGCATTTTACCTACTCACTCTTGTACTATACGTATACAATTATATAGTCCAACATCCATTTTTCATTTTAAAATTTCAATAAAATAATATACGACTTTTGTTGTGAAATTTAAATTCTTCCCTTTGCGGCTACGCTAAGCAGAAAATGTGAACTGTATAATTCCTCAGTGGAATCCTTCCGACGGAGAGAAAGTACGTGAGGTGAAGACAGTTGAAGTTCAAATATTATGTTTTCAGCTTAGCGCAATTGTACTCCTTTGGTAGGGAACCATGGTTTTACATGTTATACTGCGTATAACTCTGAAGACCCTTAAAAGAACAAAAATTCAAAACAACAACTTTCAAGTTGGGAAGAGTAACAAAGAGATATGAAATAAGGCTTCAAAAGAATATCGTGCATTAACCTTTCTGATGGCTGCTTTAATTGGCCAAATAGCGGAATTCAGATATCCAGGCACTTCTTCCATGTAATACACTTTCAAGTTGCGGAAATTCACCTGAAATAAAAAAAAAATAATAAAAAAAAAAGGCTAATAATGGGATATTATTATATTAGTTATATTATTATATTATTAGATTAATATATTAGTTCTCTTTTGGAAACTATTATCGAATTTTTAATCACATTTCCATACATTGAATGGAATTGGAGTTATCACGTTTTATGATATTTATAACTATTACATATCATACTGCAGACCTAACGAACAACATATTAAATCAATAAGCTGAAATATAATAAACAGCATAGCAAATTTAAAAAAAGCTTAGTTATTTTGTCTTTGAATGTTTTATATATATATATATATATATATATATAAATGCATTTAGTCAGGAATTGAATCTAAGTTTTCATGTTACGGAGCAGGAATGCCTCGTAACATGAAGCATAACGCATGGCAAAATATCTTTATTAGTTTTGACTAGTAAATAATTTCTTCCCATCTTTTATGCAAAGTTTAAATTCCCTTTTTTGAAGGATGTTTTCGGTTTAGTGGCAAAACATTCATTTACTAAATTTAGACTTCATAATAAGGAAGTCATCTAAACAGGTTATAAGGTTCCTCAGTACCTTGTCTGTGTTAAACCTAGAGGAACTTAGTGAACTAAGTAGAGACTTATCACGGAGTTCGAGTATTTAACCACAGAGTCTAGAGAAGGGTTAAAATATCCTTTTATTCACTCAAAGAAATAATAACAGATGGCCCCCTTCTCGGGCTTACAGGAAAGCCTCTACGTGAGTTTTTAAATCAGGATATCAAAATAATCTAATACTAAACTAAACACACTTAGCCGAAGCTGGACACAAATACCTAATATAGCTGGCCCTTGATTTAACCTAGCCCGCGATTACCAACAGGCACGTACAATACGGCAATAGATTCTAGAACGAAGTAACCATACGGCAAACACGCGCCACTAAGGACTCAAGCTCCCCCTCTTTCGAAGTAAGGTGAATCTTCCTTAAATACTCCTTCCAACTCATTTGCATAAAACGCGATACTAAGTATTCTCTCTGGTAGGGAATAGTAGATAGGAAACGAGAATAGAGAGTAAAGCATTTTTAAACTTAAAATAACTGTTAGAAATTTAAAGTAACGTCTACAAGGTAATAGAGCTAAGACAGCAGTACCTGTACTCTAACTCGGATAAGCAAGAATTTGCTATTATTAAACTTTTATCAAGTAACTATGCGTTAACACACCACGCCTATTCTTTAAATTATGTTTCAAATTATCTAACTTGTGGCAAAAATATATATAATGGTTTGGCTATTGTTTTAACAGTTTAAAATAAAATGCGTCTTCAGTATCCCACCGCATGTAAAGTTGAAGTTCTTTAGATGTAATTCCAGTACTATTTCTACAAGAATTTTCTTTTGAGCTCCGTCACGTCCTTATCGAGTGACAGAAGTCTAAAGAACCCATTTCTCATCTCCAATAAGATTTTTTTTTTTTTTTTTTTTTTTTTTATGAACAGAGAAATGCAAATCGATACTCACTGCTAATAGACTTTAACTATGATTTAATGTGGAACGTAAACACTACTATCAGAAAACCTTTCAACTCATTTTGTGAGATCTCACCTTCTTTGCTATTATAAAGTTAAATGGATTTCACTAACTTCCTGGCGACTTCTCGCACAAGCGTAAAAGAGTACCAGCACAGGAGCAGGGTAAAATAACCCTCTATTATTCGTCAAACTCTGAATACAAATGCACGTACTTCGTGCTTACAACAACATCGACGACTTACGCTGGAACTTAAGAATAGTTTCACAATAAATTTAAAAATAAAGATGTAGTGCTAGACTAACAATTCAATTTTAAGGTTAACTACACTGACTTAACAACCTACCCGGCGTTTTGCATCCTGGTGAGGAAATGCTATGCGAAAATAAGACGTTCACGAAAGATACCAAACTTAAAATAAATAATTTGTTATGTAAAATAAGGGACACTCTACAATTTCATGCGATTCATGCGATGTATTGCTTCCGTACTCACAATGACACATCTCTACTGGCGATATGTTGCTTTGACTCAGTTAGCAACTTCAACTCATTATTTTCTACTTTTTTTTATCGTCCATTTGTTCCTTAATATAATAATTTCGACTTACGCTGAAACTTCTTTAACAGCCTTTACTACTGCTATTTCATGACTGGATCTGTTAACTTCAGACTGCCTTCTGCATTCTCATCGAGACAAAGCCATTAAGGTCACATTATAGAAGGATATGCAATTGATCGTATAATTCATCAATAAATATCAATATAATCTATCAATAGTAATTTTAATAATAGAATTTATCAATAAATGTTAACACTAATTTAAAGATTAAATAACTAAAATATTGAGAAAAACTTCTAGTATCCTAAACAATGATTACTTAATATTTAAACAGGAGAAGATATACAACAAGGCCTGGAGAGAATTGCCATTAAACTGGCTAAAATTTATCTGCAGCTGATCGACGATCAGAAGCACATTTTTGACGCTGCTCGGTTTCCATATTCTTGTGTTTTAATCACACATGACAGCACAATTTTTACGCTTTGGAAAATACTGCCAAGAGTTCATAAACTAGACATGCCTCACCTATGCTGCCCGTTTTCGAACTTTGTTGCCTTCAGGATATACGTTTACGCTTTGAGAAAGAATTCCAACATCAGCTTTCTGAGAATTTCTTCACACGTCAGCGTTTTGGTGAATGAAAAAGGGGACAATTGAAAGAATCAGAAAGAAGGAAACAGAGTAGTGTCACAAAAAGTGCCACATGTCTGGCACAGAATGAGCACTTTCCGCAACAAGAAGTAAAATTATTAGGTGTATCAGCTACAAACAAAGCATCAAGGTTTTTAGCTTAAATCTTACCGTCCATTGGTGTCAATACATATTTTTTCTAATCCTAAGACTATAAGGTATTTCTCCCACTTTCTTAGCGTCCTTCGTGGCGTAGTGGTTCGGCACGCTGGGCCGGTATTTCAGAGGTCCGTGGGTTCGATTCCCGGCGAAGAAGGCGGTTGTTAATTTTTCAACTCTCTTGCCTCTCAAAAAATCCTAATGACTCTACAGTGGCGCCCGAACTATAAAAGGGTTGTGGATGATGATTCTCCGCACCCAGGATTTGGCGACTAGGTCTCCTAAAACCCTAGTCGCCCTTTAAAAAGGGGAGTATATAAGTTATTTCTCCCACTTTCCTAGCGTCCTTCGTGGTGTAGTGGTTCTGTACGCTGGACCGGTATTCCAGAGGTCCGTGGTTCGATACCCGGCGAAGGCGGTTGTTAATTTTTCACCTCTCTTGCCTCTCAAAAAGTCCTAATGATTCTACAAGACAATCACCCAGAATCCAATTTTGCGTCACAATTTTAATGATTTCATGCAAGATTCTTTATATCACCTCCTCCGTGAGGTAAATATCACAACTACAAATTCATATTTAACATTGAATATAAAACGTTTTTATCAGAACGATACTGATTATTTTTACACTTTCCGGTCTTACTAATGACAGTTTCAAGTGTATTCAGTTCAATGACTGAATTATGCGGTTTTTATGTTCCGGTTAAGGCTTTAATGCCTTTAGTTAATCTGCATGCAATAGTTGTAGAATGATCAGCAGTTTAAAATTTTAAGTGACGAATTAAGCCAAACGAAGACACCATTTGTTTACATTTGAAACCCAGCAGAATAGTGAATTAAGTCAGTTTCTACACCAACGTCAGTGTCTTTTTGTCTAATGGAACCAACAGTAAAATGACAGTTTTGTGCACCGAAAAATCTGTCTTCTTGCCCGCTCGCCGTATTGCTTGTTTTCGCGTAGAAACTCTAATTTTAATTGTAAATGTTTTTAAACTGTTTTAACTATATTTGGTGTTTTATGTTTTTCTGTATTTTGCAAATTTTAATGAAGATGTTTTTACTTTTTATGTAATTTTGCTTTTCTGCTAAGTAAGAACTGACTTAATTGAATGAGAGATATATCTCTAATGAAATTCAAGGAAATAAGTTAAAATGAAATGCAGCAAAAAATTTTTATAATTTAATAATCCCTACAAGGAAGTCATGTTGTGTCGATATCAGATTTTTTATACTAATGGTATGCAGAGGAAGTGAAAATACTGAATGTCTCTAAACCTGAGTTTTGTACATTACTAACAACATTTAAAATATGTACTTTCCTTTTATTTGGCGAGTTGTAAATGAAACCTCACTTGGGACTTGGCATTAAGACAAGTTTCTAAATGTATTACATATAGAGGCCATAGCACTTACTTTCAAGTTTACTTTTACTAATTGCTCTGAAGCAACTGACGGCTTTCAAATATTTTATTTTTAATTTAATGAATTCTTTAATAAATTAAATTAGAGCATCTCTAGAAATAACATTAGATGAAACATTTGCATCTGTAGAGCATTCCAGGCTTCGAGAAGAATTCATTACTAGTGTTATACATACGTCGTTGTCCTTCTCCTAATTCTCTGGGGGAAAAAATCCTAATTCTCTGGAAGCCTAGTATTGACTAATACATTTAATAGCCACGGAGCTATTGACCACATCCTTTCTTTTCTTTTTACTTTAGATTACATTCATTATGTTACATTGTAGAGACATTAGGATTTTTTGGAAGCCAGAGAGATGAAAAATTAGCAACCGCCTTCGCCGGGAATCGAACCACGGACCTCCGGAATACCGGGCCAGCGTGCTAAGTTACACGAAGGCACACTAGGGAAGTGGTAGAAATAGTTATGTACTCCCCTTTTTAAAGGCCGACTAGGGTTTTAGGGGACCTAGTCGTCAAATCCTGGATACGGAAAATCATCATCCACAACCCTTTTAGTTCGGGCGCCACTTGTAGAGGATTTTTGTTTGTTAGGATTTTTTTAGAGGCGGAAAAGATGAAAAATAGCAAACGCCTTCGCCGGGAATCGAACCACAGACCTCTGGATACCCGCCCAGTGTGCAAAACCGCTACACCATGAAGGACACTAGTGAAGTGGAAGAAATGCCTTATAACATTCAATAAATGTTCTTTTCGTTTTGGTAGTTTTGGTAGTTCTTGGATTATTCTGTAGAGTCATTAGGTTATTTTTGAAACAAGGGATGGGAGAAATATGCAATGCCCTCTCCGGGACTTGAACCTGGACCTCTGTAATACGCTCCGAGTGTGCTACCATTACACCACGAAGGCATGCAGAAAGGAGGGACCTTACGTATTCCCGCTTATAAAGGATTAGGGGACACAATTGGTGGCAAAGAATCATTATCCATCACCTTTTTAAGGCATATTCATTAGACTTTTTTGTTGCGGGAGACGTGAAAAATGAGCAATGTCCTCGCCAGGACTCGAATCTGGATTTCTCCAATACACGCCTAGTGTGCTAACCGTTACACCATGAAGGGATGCGGAAAGGAGGGAGAAAAGTACCTTTTAATTCCTGTACTTGTTTTGGCAGTACATGTACTAAAACCTTATAATTCCTTACAAGTTCTTTTACGAACAACTACAATGTATGCAAAATAATGGTCAGATTTTTTGCGTTTACTAAAATCATTATCTCTACAGTAAATATTTAGAGACAACAGAGGCATTATTTCTTTTGCTTCGTGAATTGAATTTAAATAATGCAAGTAATTAAAATTACCTTTTCGTCAAGTTGGAGTCTTTCATCGTTATCTGACAGCACTTTAACAAGAAGCAGAAGATCCTCCGCATATCTACACATTGGACCCGTGCTGAGGAAATCATTTAACTTCCCTTCAGTTTTCGGCCAATATTTTTTATTTGAAATAACACCTGAAAAGAAATAAATATGAAAATCTAATAGAGATAAATCGGCAAACTCTTTTAAGGTTTTACATATTAGGCAAAAATAAATTAAATGTATGATGTTATGTAGAGGCAAAAGGGCCTATTTATACAAAAAAAAAAAAAATCTGATGTGGACACTACGCGACTTTCTTGTGCGGCCTATTAAATTATGCATATTTTTGCTGCACTTTATTTAAACTTATTTCCTCGAATTTCATTAGAGATGTATTTCTCATTCAGTCAGTTCAGTTCTCATTTCGCCGCAAGGCAAAAATACATAAAAACTCAAAGCATCCTCATTAAAACTGTAAAATACAGAAAAACCTAAAACACCAAATAAAGGTAAAAACAGTTAAAAAATGTTTTCTTACAAACAAAATTAAAGTTCCTACGCCAAAGCAAGCAATTCGGCCAACGAGCAGGAAGACAAAAATTTCGGTGCACAAACTAAAAGTTAAATTTTGGTCCTACTGGGTAAAAAGACACTTAAGTTGGTGCACCAACTGGGACTTAATTCATTATTCTACTAAGAGCTTCAAATGCAAACAATTAGTGCCGACGTTTGGCCCAGCGCCATTTAAACTTTAAAATTTTTGATACTGCAACAACTATTGCATATAGATTAACTAAAAGCATAAAAATCTTAACTGAAACATAAGAACACCATAATCCAATCATTTTTAAAGCACAAAATGTACAATTAACCAATATATAAGAATAAAAGAACAGAACTCACCAAGCCGGTTTAGAGGGTGGGTGTATATATGTAAAATATAAAAAAAATACGATGGCTTTGCTCTTTGCGAAAACAGACTAATAATCTTCAGCAATTAAGGATTCGTCCCCAAACGTACCTTCTACAAATTCGCACATTTACATAACCTCCTCATATAAATGCTGCGTCATTAAGTTCTCCTAGACCGATGCCGTCTGCCTTCGTCCTGCTAACGCTTCGAGATGCTCCTTCTTCTTTTAGAACATTATGACGTATTAAAGTCTAAGTAAGATATTAATAGTTCAATTACTGAAAATCTGAATAAGTTATTTGATTAACTTTCATCTGGAAAAGTCATTTCCTTTTTAAAATCCGTATGCTTTCTCCCAAAGTGAAATGAAAATCACATAAATCTCATTCAATCATCCCAGCTCGTCAACATTGCCAACGTGTAATGGAAATAGCCTCACCATTCGCCAACTATGTGTTGGAAAAATGCAAACATTACATAACATACTAATACATATATAGATATTATATAATTACATATATATACAATATATATGTTAATATTATACCCTTCATGCCTAAATCTTAATAACTACAAATACGGCAACTAAATAGTGACCGTGATTTACATATTATAATTACAATTTTTAAAAGTCTATGACAAAAAAGAGATTCACTTCAAAACTTAAAATTACCACTGAATTCAACTAATTCTAAAAGAGAATTGTCAATCCCTCAACACAATTACTCAACAGCTGTTAGAATTAAAAAGAATCTGAAATACAGCAAAACTCCTTCAAGAAGAAGTACTATACTTCGTCACAATTTTGAAAAATAACCTCATTCCTCAAAAAATAATTAAGAATACTAAAAGCTGGCATTAGCTTTACCAATTTTTAGATTTTTTGAGTTAGATAATTAAATTTTTTTACTTAAAGCCCAATGAGACGGTATAAAGTGGATAGCTGAATCTGAAGATCTAATTTATAAATGTACAGATAATTTCTGTCACAGCGTCTTTTTTCCTCTTAAAATTTGGCACAATACTTTTAATGCTATTTTTAAATAGTTTAAAAAATACTTTGATGGCCAATTCGAATCTGTTATTAACTTACGGGCGATTTTCGTTTCTGGCAACTTGGAAGCTTGAAGAATTACGACTTTAATTAACAAATTACTATTTTTTCTATATTTTTCTTACTTTAGAGGCCATTTTAGATAATGTTTTGTTGAATTAGCCATTTGCACTTTTACCCAGTCCATTTTCTTCAAACTACTATAACAAGACGCCAGTTTGAACTTTTTCCACATTTTTCAACGCCTTTCACCCCCTTTTTGCTATGAGCCAGGTTGCTGCCAACGAACAGTCACTTGTCATTGGCTATTTATTGCCCAGTGACGTTGTTTTCCCCCTTTCTACGTCACCCGACAAGTTGGAGGGCAATGGAAACGCTAGGGGGTTTGCACAACCTTTTCGAGTTTAATTGTCGCCAAGGAAGATAGCTTTGTACCAGGTCTGATTTTTATAATTTTTTCTCTAAA